TATTTTACTTTGTTTATTTATTGACTCTCCGTGTTTTAATTTTTGCAATTCTTCTGGAAAACTTTCTGCCTGAATTATTCGATATAAATATTCTTCGTTTTCATTATTTCGCTCTTTAAGTGATTTAGATTGAACAAATTTGTTCCAATTTTCGTAAGAATTCCGAAAGTAATTGTTACTCGAGTTGGCATGAGCCTTTTTTCTCCAAATATAAAATATTTTACGTATTCGATTTGCATGTACTAGCAATCCTTGCCAACCTAATAATCGTATTGTAATTGGAAGTTCAGAGAATTTTGTAGTTATCATGAAAATAAAATTTTTTCTTTGTTCCAATTTTTTAATAACATTCTTTTCATTTTTAGTTAAAAATTTTTCTACCGGACATGTTTTTTCATTTTGAGATAAAAAACTTGGTCCATTAAACCATCGACTATTTAATCTCAATGCATCATTTTCTAGTCGCGTAGCATCGTCCGCTGGATTGTCTGCAGTCGGTACCCATTTCCATTCAGAGCTTTGTGTAAGTTCAGCAATTTCCCCTAAACGATTAGCAACAAATATATTATGTTCACGGGGCTCTGATCTAATCCACTGAATTGCAGTAGATGAATCCGACCAAAAAACGCGACGAGTAATTTTAATTCTAAGTTCATTTTTTTAAAAATTTGCTAGTCTAGCTCCTAATAATGCTGCTTGAAGTTCTAATCGCGGAATAGTTTCTCGTTTCAAAGATGCCGTTCTATTTTTTGTCATGACTAAAGCAACATGCGCCTTTCCGTCATGTTTTTCAAAGCGCAAATATGCCGCTGCTGCGAAAGCTATCATACTTGCGTCGCAAAAAACATGAAGCTGCGCTTCTTCATTGGTACCTGAGGGAGTGTAACATCGATTAATTTTACAATGTTTTATTTTTTCGGTTTCTGATAGCCAAATTAACCAAGAAGCATACTCTTCTTTTCTCAATTTATCGTCCCAGTGAATTCCGCTTCGATGATTAGCCTGCATTAATACTTTAGATTTTAACGTGAAAGGTGCTATCAAGCCGAGAGGATCATAAATGGACATAATTACACTTAATACTTCGCGTTTCGTTGGTATTCTTTGTCCGCGTATTAACAATGGTGAAATGCCCTCTTTCGAAAACCTCAAAATAACCTTTGGCTATCTTTAATATAGTGTTTAAGAAGTGCTGTGCCCATATAATTAGCCTCCGACCTCCCCCCCATATATATACATATGCAAAAAACGATTTTTTTACGAATTATTTTTTTTATCGAAAAATAATAGCGATATCAGTACAAAAAAAAATTATGGATATACTACTTGCCAAAAGGAATATACCTGATTTTTTTCACATCTTAAGGTGGTGATTTTCTAACCTAAAAAAATTCCCGAAATTTTCAAAGTGCGATAACTTTACTTAGAAAAGTGGCTACAGAAAATTTTTTTTTTAAATTATGTCTTTTTTTCTGACGAATTCAGTGGTATCATTAGAATTTCGAAAATCGTAGTGGGTCATTGAGAAAAAGTCAAAAAACTGAGTTTTTTCGACTTTTTTCGTGGTTTTTGGTCGCTAATTCTTCGCAGTCGATTTCTATGCCAAATCTGATTACACCATTCGATTCTACAGGAAAAATTACATCGAAAACATGTATAATAACATAGAAAATAATATTGGATCATCGTTGAAAAAATTCAGTAAGCTGCGTACAGGTACCTAGTGTACCTCTGCAGAGTTCAGAAATGAACTAAGTATTGCAGTAAATAAATAAATAAAATAAATAAATAAATATATGCATATATATATATATATATATATATATATATATATATATATGTATATTTATATTAACTATGCGCAGCTGGATGGACTTACAGATTGACAATATGTCGGCCGTGAAGGGCCAATAGCAAAGCAGTCATGATACCGTCATGCAATGTCATGGTGCTGTTTTATAACCATAGCAGAGCAATCTAATTACGGAATCCGGAACGGAATAGAGAGGGGAATCAGAACATAGAAATCTCGGATGTTAGATGGTTTCACCTTTTGACACTCGTTGCATGTTGAATGTTTTTTTATTGAAAAAAGCACTGATCCGATTGAACTTTCAACTTAAAATTAAATAGGAATTAAATTGGAAACTTGAATAGGAAAATTAAATAGGAAACTTGAAATTAAATAACCAAAAATTATACTTGTCAGTTAGTTTGCCAAGTTGACAACCCAATATAAAAAAGACATACCACGTGAAAACACTGAAGACATTTGGATATTTGGATTGAAAAGTATATATAATTCAAAAGGTATGATAATGTCAATTTTTGCGACTTTAATATCAGTATTAATTATTCAATATACATTAATACATTAACCCATTAACGTCCAAAATGTCAAAATTTCTTGCACGTTTTCAAAGTGATTTTTTCCTATGTAATTGGCGTTGAAAAAATTCTTGAACCACATATTCTGATGTAAAATTGTATGCTCTTTCAGAATCCGTTGCCAGAATCATGATAAAACTCACAGGAAAAGAGATATGCTCGATTGAAACATAAAAAACACCTAAATTTTCGAAAAAAAAATTTTTTAGGATTTTTTTTCGAAGTGTTACGGTGAAGATATCACCTTGCGACCGTGATCAAAGGTGATTATGGGATTTGAAGTTTAACAGGGAATTTTTTTGTTTACCTTGAACCATCGCTTCTTTACAAAATGGCGGAAAAAACGAATTTTTTTTTTCAATCTTCATCAACTTTTTTCTCAAAATCTATGGTCTTTAGAAAAAAATTCATAAAAACAAAAATGCCTTAGAATCGCTCGAAGAACATTCTCAAATTTTTTCAGAATTTTTTGAGACAATTTTTGATTTTTCGGGAAACTTGGGAAATGGAATTTTCAAAAATGTCTTCAAAAATTCTGAAAAAATTTTAGGATGTTTCTCGAGTGATTCTAAGACATTTTTGTTCTTATGAATTTTTTTCTAAAGTCCATAGATTTCGAGAAAAAAATTGATAAAGTTGAAAAAATAAAAATTCGTTACGGCCGCTATGTTCACTTTATCAATTTTTTTCTCGAAATCTATGGACTTTAGAAAAAAATTCATAAGAACAAAAATGTCTTAGAATCACTCGAGAAACATCGCAAAATTTTTTCAGAATTTTTGGAGACATTTTTGAAAATTCCATTTCCCAAGTTTCCCGAAAAATCAAAAATTGTCTCAAAAAATTCTGAAAAAATTTGAGAATGTTCCTCGAGCGATTCTAAGGCATTTTTGTTTTTATGAATTTTTTTCTAAAGACCATAGATTTTGAGAAAAAAGTTGATGAAGATTGAAAAAAAAAAAATTCGTTTTTTCCGCCATTTTGTACAGAAGCGATGGTTCAAGGTAAACAAAAAAATTCCCTGTTAAACTTCAAATCCCATGATCACCTTTGATCACGATCGCAAGGTGATATCTTCACCGTAACACTTCGAAAAAAAATCCTAAAAATTTTTTTTTTCGAAAATTTAGGTGTTTTTTATGTTTCAATCGAGCATATCTCTTTTCCTGTGAATTTTATCATGATTCTGGCAACGGATTCTGAAAGAGCATGCAATTTTACATCAGAATATGTGGTTCAAGAATTTTTTCAACGCCAATTACATAGGAAAAAATCACTTTGAAAACGTGCAAGAAATTTTGACATTTTGGACGTTAATGGGTTAATGTAGTAAATTAACCATCACACACAAAACTTGGTATCAATATAGTTTGAATGGCAGACGATAATTTTTAAATTATTGTAGGAAAGAAATTACGATTCCATTAATTATATTCTATTTATTAATTTATTTCAACAGTTTTAGGTACCTTGGAATACATATTTCTGGTACTCTTCAGGCTATAGTACTATTAGTTGAGTTTGTTTTCATTTCCTTGGATAATTTCAAAACATTTTTACATTATCCATAGTTGAATATGAAATTGTAATCCTACTTCTGAATATAAATCATTAAAACTGTATTATTCCAATATTATTTTTTTTATAGTAAACAATAAGTTAACAGTTATTGTACTGCATATTTTAATAGAATAATTTTTTTTTCATCAAATAAAAAATTCTATCGAAAAATTCTTTTCGCATCTTTTATAAGTTTGATAATATATCAAAAAACTTTTCTTTACCTAAACTTTATATTATAAAATTTGTTGCATCTACTTTTAACTTTAAGGTTGTTACGAGAGTCTTTTTTTAATTTTCTTGTATTTTTTAAATATTGGAATTATATTAAATTAACTAATAGCCAATAGATTTTGCAAGTTATTTTGACACATCAAATAAAGCAAAGATTTTTTCAAGCAATATATTACTATGAGTGCTACCATAACTATGTGTGATTATTTAATAGTAATTGGTTTTGCAATCGTATAAATTGTGATACACTTGTTGTAAAATAGTCAAACAGAACTATTGAAATTGCTTAAGATTTTATAATATTCTGTAATTTGTACAAAATTAACTTTATCGTTTGTATGGTAGCTGATTATCGTAAGAACTTTTATTTCTTCCTCGTTTTAACATAATTTATATGTTTTCATGTTGGACCATGGAAAAAGAGTTTGACATAATAAATATACTCAGTTTTTGACGTGTGCAATTATGTTTTAGATTTCCCTTTTCTGCAATTTATACTTTCATGATCTACAGGAATGAATATTTAACTTTGATTGTTTGTTTTCATTTTCTTTTTAATTATCTCTAACAAACTTCCATATAAAAATATGTATGCTATGAAAATTCCGGTGGTGATTTTCCAAATAGTTAGAAAAATAAGTATTAGAGCATTTGAATGTTTCAAAGATAGTAAAAGAAGTCTCGAGCTTTTGATTATTTACAGAAATGTTTACTACTAAATATTTCGTTAAAATTGTACTTGTTGTGATATTAAAATCTAGTAATTTGACATTATGAAAATTAAAATATGATCCTTTTTGTTATTACAGACACATAAGATGTCTTCTGATGATGAGTCTTCAGTCAAAAAGCCTCGTTCAAGAGATGAATCAAAATGTATTTCGTGCGACAAACATATAAGAAAATTGAGTGGATCCCATTTGTATATTGATAGTCGGGAAAAAGCTTTGGATTTTAATAAAAAGTATGGACAATTGGTCCTTGTGGATGATACAGTATGTTCCAAGTGTTACGCAAAATTGCGAATTTCGAAATCTTCAAAAAATACTGACAACGAGAAGTATAAAGCTCAAAAATCTGGAGATTCGTCAGAGTCGACGGCAACTTCTTCAGCAGATGTTTTAGGTGAAAATACTGTTCAAGAAGATGAATCTGAGTCTCAAATTGAAGAACAGACGTCAAGAATTTCACTGGAAAATACTCAAGAAAGTAACACAGAGAGTAATACACCTTCATGGGATACAAAGCTTGGAGAAAGTAAAAGTAGTCAAGATACAACTACAGATTATAGTCAAACATCAGATTCTTCCGGAACAGATCCAACATATGTGCTTATTAATACTATTGAAGTTGAATTGGCAGTCATGCCTTTTCCAAGGACAATTATATCTCACCAGTATTGTTTTATGTGTAAAGAAACTAAGGATCTTCAAGACGTACCATTCGATGCCCGAATATACGTGTTCACAAAAAGGAGAATATTCATTCCAAGGAGAAACAGATGTTGTAAGAAGCATTTAATTAAAAAACGATTTTATAATGAAGATTTGTCAATTATAACCTGTGCTAGCAGTGAATGTGAAATTGAATCCAAAGAATTGCCCAGATTCCTTGAAGCCTTATCAGATTCAAGTAATTCTAGTCTGCATGATAAAATTGGTGAGTACGCAATTTCTGAGGAAAGAATAAAAGCATTAACAGGTTATACGTGGAAAAACATAATTACTCTTAAGGAAATGATGATAACTATGCGTAGTTCAGGTAATCGAAACGTTACACAAGCTCTAGTCATATTTTTAATTAAATTAAGAACTGGTAACTCGGATCTTTGTATATCTGCTATACTGGAAATTGAAGAAAAAGTAGTGCAACAATCAATTAGTGCTGTTTTAAAATGTTTTGAAGAAGAAGTATTACCCAAAAATTTTGGATATGGGGCTTATTCGAGAGAGTTCTTGTTGACCCAAACCTCACCAATAGCTAAAATATTATTTAATTTAGGAGATAGACTGGGTTTAGTATGTGATGGTACGTATTTACGGCATCAAAAAAGCAGTAACAATATGTACCAAAGGAAATCCTATTCTGGGCAGAAGAAAACAGCACTATGTAAACCTTTTACAATAACAACTACAAATGGCTTTACAGTTTATGTCGAAGGACCATACAATGCTAACCTCAATGATGCTGCAATTTTAAAAGAAATTTTGTGCTCTGCTGGTGGTCTTAACAACATTTTAGAAAAAGGAGATTATTTCATTTTAGATAGAGGTTTTCGTGACGTGGTTCCATTCCTGACGAGTAAAGGTTTCAATGTACTTATGCCAGCTTTAAAAGGAAAGCGAAATCAATTGACGGTTGAAGAATCAAATCAATCGCGATTGGTGACCAAAATTAGATGGGTTGTCGAAGCTGTTCATGGGATAGTAGGGCAAAAATGCAAACTTCTTCATAATCAATTTCATAATGCCAGGTTGCCCAATGCTGGATTGTACTGTCGAATTGCATGCTTTCTCGTTAACTTATTTTGTAAACGACTTAATTCAGATGTTGGCAAAAGTGATTTGATAATTGCTAGAATTCTTAAAATGATCAATGTTAAAAATACTCTAGCAGAGTTTGTTGAAGAGAACAACTGGAATAAAAAAGTTAAACCTTTCAAAATAATTTCGTCAAACGATTTGCTAGATTTTCCAGAACTGACTGTAGATGAGCTACAAATTCTTTTTACGGGTACATATCAATTATCTCAAGCTATTTGTTACTTAGCGGAAATGTTGGGCGAGAATGAATCTTTAAATCTGAAGTGTTCTATAGAAGAAAATTGTATCATTAGATTTGAAGTCAAATCAAGACACATCAATAGTAAGACGTACAAGGCCTATGTAGAATACGAACCTCAAACTTATGGCATAAAAGGTATCAAAAGATATTGTTGTAATTGTTCTAACGGCAACAGGACCGTTGGCTGTTGTTCACATGTGGCATCTATTATTTATTACTTGGCTCATGCCCGATATTTATCACGCATCCCGAAACCAGCAGAACAACTAACTAAGTTGTTTGATGTTAATAGTACAGTTCCTGTCATCGATGAAGACAGTGATGAGGACTAAAGTGATTTTCAGTATTGCTTTTCAACAATTATCTGTAAATACTACGACACATTGTAATTTTAATGGTTTATTCAGCTAATAAATCATAACAATTATCAGTAAATATGTCCAATAATTTCAGTTGTTTTATTTCATAAATTTTTTTTACGATTAACCGTTTTCTTCCATAAGTTGTTTTCTATATAATTTCTTTTGATTTTCAAAAGATTAATTTTTAGGTACTCTGATAACACTGAAATGCATTTACACACTCACTCGCTTACACACTCATATATATCTAACTATATATATATAGTTGTAATAGCGCCCGCCTTCGGAAGTAGACCCTCCCCCCCCCTCCCCCCTGATTTGTTCCCCTCCCCCCTCCCCTTTTCAATATTACGTTTTTGGTATTTTTGTACTAAAAACTTAATATTTACGGTGTTTCTACCGTGTTTTTGTTGATTTTTGCTAAACTAAAACAAATATTTTATTTCTTATGCCCCCTCCCCCCCTCTCCCCCCTAACTTGGCCCCCTCCCCCTCGATTTTAAAACTTTTTTTGTCCCTTTCTTTTTCAATTTCATGGCATTCATGAATTTATATACATGACCATGTAATTGATTATAACATTTGTTTCAGAATTTCTGTTCTTATATTATAGCAATTTATTCTCAATTCAGTTAGCGAGTTTGGTTATTCAATGAGTATTGTAATATTAATCAGTTTTTTTTTTAAATATTTAATAAGCACAATGTTTTAATTGCTGCACGAATTCATAAATTTAAAGTTTACTAAACTTATAGATATTGCCGCGGGAAGCGCTGTGATCGCTATGTGCTACCGTCAATCTGATGTGTTTCACTATAGTTTCTCATGCTTTCGACTCGTGACAACAGCCGTTGTTGTTGTGTGTTTTTATAGTTCTATAAATTTAGTTCATATCACTTATTTATTGGCAAATTTGAAGTATTTATTAAACGTAAGTAGTCCCTATATTTACTACTATATCTATTCTACTCATGCTTTCGACTCGTGACAACAGTCGTTGTTTGTTTATATTGAGAAAATGTTGTATTACAACTGCAGGAGTGCCAAAGAAGAATATATCCAGTAGGTAGGCAAATGGCACTAAGAATTACCAGTGCATTTAGGACTGTCTCCAGAGACGCAGCACATGTAATTTCGGGGCTATTACCCATCGAGATTTTGGCTGAAGAACAGACGCGGCTGTACGAGCATCGGAAAGCCAGGCAGTTAGAAATAGATGACTGCAGGAAAAGAGAAAGGCAGAAAAGCATTCAACGTTGGCAGGCACAGTGGGATAGCTCCGGAAAGGGCCGATGTACCTATCAGCTTATCCCAGAGATAGCGAAATGGGTGAACCGCCAACATGGAGATCCCAGCTACTACCTGACACAGTTACTGACTGGGCACGGATGTTTCCGCAAATACTTGTACAAGTATAAACATGAGGACTCACCAGAATGCCAAAAATGTCGAGGAATAGAGGAGGACGCGAGGCATGTATTTTTCACATGCCCAAGATTTGAAACACAACGACGAAGGCTCGAAAGCACACTTGACACGACGATCAAACGTGAAAACCTTGTCGAACAGATGCTAAGATCCGAGAGCAGTTGGAATGCCACAGCGGACTATGCCAGAGAAGTAATCGAAGAATTACGAAAAGAAGAGAAGACGAGAAAAGAACAACGAACCCAGGGTGCTCGCACTAATGCGATTCCCTTGTAGTTAACTTGACAGATTCTTCTCGGATGAGAAAAAAACACAGAAGAAGACGACCGGACGATGCGGTAAGAAGAAGACGACCGGACGATGCTGTAAGAAGAAGACGACGTAGGAGTCTGACAAACCTGAACCCTCGATCAATCAACGACGATCGGGGGACGTAGGGAAGGACAACAAGGAGGAAGAGCTAATCAGCTATTGCCACCCCCGCGAAGTAATACCTAGCGGCAGTTCCGCGGGGGGTTCCTGCATCCTGCAGTTGTGGTCACCACTATAAAAAAAATGCGCCATGATATTTACCTCAACGGTGGTGTGGAAAAAATATCAGTAATGTTTCTTTTATATTTTCATTCACTAAAATGGGAGGTTGGCGAGCGGAGCGAGCAGGGGGGCGGAGCCCCACTAGTATATATATATATATATATATATATTATGTAGGGTCATTAATTTCTTTAATAAGACAAAAATTTCAAGTAAATACGTCCGATGTTCTTGATTTTTTTCTTTACTTAATTTTTTCAACGATGATCCAATATTATTTTCTATGTTATTATACATGTTTTCGATGTAATTTTTCCTGTAGAATCGAATGGTGTAATCAGATTTGGCATAGAAATCGACTGCGAAGAATTAGCGACCAAAAACCACGAAAAAAGTCGAAAAAACTCAGTTTTTTGACTTTTTCTCAATGACCCACTACGATTTTCGAAATTCTAATGATACCACTGAATTCATCAGAAAAAAAGACATAATTTAAAAAAAAAATTTTCTGTAATCACTTTTCTAAGTAAAGTTATCGCACTTTGAAAATTTCGGGAATTTTTTTAGGTTAGAAAATCACCACCTTAAGATGTGAAAAAAATCAGGTATATTCCTTTTGGCAAGTAGTATATCCATGATTTTTTTTTGTATTGATATCGCTATTATTTTTCGAGAAAAAAAATAATTCGTAAAAAAATCGTTTTTTGTATATATATATATATGGGGGGGAGGTCGGAGGCTAATTATATGGGCAAAGCACTTCTTAAACACTATATTAAAGATAGCCAAAGGTTATTTTGAGGTTTTCGAAAGAGGGCATTTCACCATTGTTAATGGGGGGTACCCTTTGTATCCGTAGTAAAATTTTTGCAAGTTTTACGTTAAATTTTAATTCATCCGTCTCCGTATCCCAATACATTCCGAGAACCCTTTCATTTTCAGTTTTTCCGAGAGATGTTTGACCACTTTTCGTCGAATCTTCAATATTTAGAGCTTTATTTATTACTTCGGATTTGTTGCTAGCTCAACCGTGCATTTGGAAACCTGCTTCAGAATTAATTTTTATTACATCTTTAATAAATTCGACCGCTGTGCTGTCTGATTTTTGACTTGAAATTAAATCATCCATATAACTGTCATCGATTATACCTTGAACTGCAAGAGGTTTAGATTTCGCATATCTCTGTGCGTTTTTATTTTTAATAAAAATGGCAGATGTTGGTGACGATGCAGCACCAAAAATCAGGCAAGTACATTCAAATTCATCGGGTTCTCTATTTCTATCTCTCCCTCGATATAAATATCTTATCGCTTTGTCATGTTCAATAATTTTAACTCTTAAAAACATATCTGAAATATCGCTTTTTATTGTTACTGCGTATTGCCTAAATCTAATTAAAATTCCTGGCAATGGTCTAAGCAAATCTGGACCTGCATCAAGTTGATCATTTAAGCTTATTTCATTTGTTTTTGCAGCACAATCAAAAACCACACGGACTTTATTTGGCTTATTAATATTATAAACTCCGAAAATTGGTACATACCATATTCTAGATCTTTCTGTATTCTTATCAATTTGTTTTGCATAACCTTTCTCTAACATTCGATCCATTTCTTTATAAAACATTTCTGCATATTTAGAATCTTTATCTAATTTTTCCTCTAAAATAAATAATCTTTTTAAGGCAGTAATTTTACTGTCAATATCAGGAGCTATATCATTTCGCCATAAAAGTCCGGTTTCCCACGAATCTCCCTTAAAATGACTTGATTTTTCTAAAATTTCTATAGCTCTTTCGTTATTATTCTTTGATTTAGACTTCTCATTTACACCTATTATTTCAGAATCGAAAAATTGTTTAATTAATTCATTCAGTCTTTCATCTACTTGTTCATTTTCTTTTATGAATTCATTTTCAGAGTTACAAACTGATATTTTATTTGCAATTGACGTTATACAAGTTTTTTTGCAATTGCGATAAGTGGTCCCGTGTAAAGTCCATCCTAACCGAGAACGAGAAATTGCTAAATCTTTTTTTAATTCTATAAATTCTCTAGTTGCTATTAATTTTAAATTGTCTTGTCCAATTAAAATGTCAACTTGTGCATCATAATAAGGTTGTAAATCAATATGATTTATTAATTTGTTGAAATGTAACATTAAATTTTTACTTAAAGTTTGAGTGGGAAATTTACAGTTTTCCACTATTAAAGCATGTTCGACTTCATATTTTCCAAAAATTCTATATACTTCAAAACTAACTTTTTCACAATTCGGTAATACTGTTTTTGAATTTATTCCGGTTAATGTTAAACTCGTAATTTTCCCTCTCAAACCAATGCTTTTTGCGAACCTTTTATCAATTAACGTAATCGTAGAGCCTTCGTCGAGTAAAGCAAATGTTCTTGCTTCTTTCTTGAAACCGATTACTCTTAAAGGAACAATTTTTAATAAAACTTTTGATGATTCTAGTCATAAAGGTGGATTTATTTCTGACGCTGTATTTGCGCTTTCAAAGTTAATTTGTTCAATCGAATTAAAATTATTATTGGACTTTTTAGAATGTAATAATGTATGATGACTTTGTTCGCATTTTTTACATTTTCCATATTTACAAACTTTTCTTAAATGCCCAGGCGATAAACAATTAATGCATAATTTATTACGTTTTACTAAAATCCAGCGTCTATCTACTTTTTCTCGGAGAAAATCGTCACATTTCCAAATTGGATGATTTTTGTTACATACTGCACACATACGAGATTTATGAGAGTTTATTTTCTCAATTTCGGTCTTATTTGACTCGTCTATAACGAAAGATGAAGCATATTTTTTGTTTCTTGTATCTCGAGGTGTATTCGAACGATTTGATAATGTCTCAGCTGATTTTCCGAGACTAAAAACTCCTGTTTTGGCTGCTTTCTTTTAGCCTCAATATACAAAAAATCACTCAATTTCTCTAAATCTGATTTTTCATCAGATTGTTCCTCCGCATATCGATTAAACGC